AATTTATGGGGGACACCTTTGCTCCACAGACACTGCCATAGTGCTTGGCGGTCCACAGAGTCAAAGGCAGCTTTCAGATCAAGAAAAACAACCATTGTTGGTTGCTGGAAGCAGTGTCGCTGTTCCAGAATCTGTCGTAGGGTGCTTCACATGTGCTCGGAGAGCTTTTATCGCACAATCATGCCGAGAAAGGAAGTGAGTCCTGGCAATGAGGTATTAAACGCTTCATTGGCAAACTCAGCTACACTGATACTAACCGTCTCCCTGGATCGGGACCCAGAGACGGGACATACCATATGTTATGGACACTGACAGACGTGGCCCAGTCGCGTGACTAAGGGCGCACATGCTTCCACTGTGTTTCCTAATGTGTGCTTCTCTAGCTACTCACTTATCCACGCGTCAGTAACACCATCTGCCTTCAGTGCATAATTATCAACCACTTACCACCCATATCATCGGCAGGTGTAACTGTGGCGGCTTTGACGAGCGTACAAGATGTGCGCGCTTTTTGCAACTGATGATTGTGATGGTCGTAATGATGACGATGATGATGAGGAGGAGAACATAGTCATCCTAGGTTCGAGAGGTGACGAAGAGACTGAACAGTTTTATTTGCTTTCCACGATTCTAAGATTGCTTAATCGAGTTTAAGCTGTGGAAACTACACTTGACTACACTTGTTTATTATTCCATACATGGCTCACTCATATAAGTATGATTTTTGCCGTTCCTTGTCCGACTCTCTGAAGTCGGTGGTCTTACTGTTTCTCCTTTTGTGCTCTTCTGTGATTGCATGTATCGATTTAGGACATGTGAGCGAAGTCTTGGTATACGAACTGAGGGGACTAAAGGAAAACGATTGAAGGGCATTAGATCTTAGAGTTTTGAAAGCGATTCTTTCTGTGAAGTCGTGCTTGCTTTACGCGGTGTTTTTTCTTAACGCAGCGTTTCATTTGTCTAATTTAGGTTTGCACTTGTCCGGACTCGGTTTATGTGGCATCTGAATGAACTGCGTTCGAAAGAGAACAGTCCGAACGTCCGACCAAGTATAGTCTCCTTGATTATGGGTATGAAGTTCTTTCGCGTCAAGGCAAGTCTCCTATTTCATATCTGATTGGTATTCGATGAATTACGGTATCTTAGCTGTATTATTTAGTAGTTGAAGAACCTACATCAACGTCAAACTTGGTAGTTCGACACAGTTCGTAGTATCGGGTTGTGTTATGCGCCAAACACCAGGTAGCTCAGTTATCATTTTTTTGGGACAAAAGCACCGGGGTAGCAAGCGTTTCACAAGTGTCCCTCAATCGGTCGGTCGGTTTCACTTGTTAATCTGTGTGGTTGCAATATAAAAGTGTCTCTCCCATGTTTTTCACACCTTAGAGGAATTTATATTTCTTGAATCCTTTAAATTAATGGAGGTAATAAAGTTTGGCTAATTTTTGTAGTGAATTACGTTATCTCGGAGGTTCTTAAATATGTGTGAGTGTTCAGCAGTTTACTCTGAGGTGTTTATTGTTGCTTCTCCTTTTGACAACCTCCTTTCTGAAAAGATTCTACATACGAAGTGTAGATTCCATACGAAGTGTAGTCCTTCGCGGGGGTAGTCACAAGCGACCTCGTGTTACTGAAGGATGGATGGTTAGGTATCCTGCCCAACTGTAGTTAATCGGACTGCTGGTCAGCCACTGGGTGCCGAATGGTTATTGTCCACTTGCTAACTGGAATGTAATGGGTTCGAGAAATTTTAGGTATGTGTGGGATAGGCACTGTCGGTTATTCCTTGCATGGACGTACCGTACTTCTGAGCTTCCAGAGTATATACTGAATTCATTCACAAGAAACTTCCTACTGTGATTTCACTTTCGTTGCTCTTGTCTACCGAGTGAAAATGGCTACACCTGATTTTAAGGGCTCTCTGAGAAGGTCTAGGAAAAGATACATTTAGGGTTGTACCACAGGAACTTAGGTTGAAACCATAGCCTTCACTCGCATCTTAACCTGTATCTGCCTAACTTCAGATGATAGCTGGGCCTGGTCATGCATGAAAGAAGAATTCTACACAGCTCTTGTGTGTTCCTCATTTATCAAGCCTGTCCGAAGTAACATTATTGGGAGATCGTTCGATCCAATAATCTGTAGTTGATTTGGTGCTGTTAGGCTGTACTAGTTGGGTACTGTTATCGGAACACGTAGCGTGTGCTGTTTATTTCACCATCGACGGATGCCGCAGTTTGGCTTTACCAAGCCACTGAGATGAAAAACCTGGCAAGTGAATTAACGACCACGCCGTTCGTCACTTTTTTGAGTGTTGTAATTTCAGAAGAGTTTAAGTGGGTTGTTCCATCTGTGACTGTTCAGTTTATCAGCTATAAACTGTGTGCCATAGGCACATCGGTTCCAGCTGCTACAGTTCCGATCACCGGAAAACGGGAAAGTTAAACATATAACCAAGCATTTGAAGTGAAGACATATTCAGTAACCCGAGCTTGAGGTGGCTCAGTGGCCAAGGCGCGAACTTACTGACTAGTTCGTGCCAAATTTCGATACCTCGAGGGCTCCTGTCTATGCTTGGGCAACCTGGCAGTACCTCGTGCTTCCTCAGGGTCGCAAGGCATCTGGGAACTGGACGGGTATCACTGAACGAGTATCACTATTATTACTAGGATCATGTGGCAAAAATTATCTACATTGGGCGCGAATTGGCCACAAGGGTAAACCTGGTTTGCCAGAACAATCAGGGTTTATCTTCAATGGAGATTCCGTCTTGTAAGTGAAGTCGTTTGCGCTGAGAAGCCGCCAAGTGCTGTGCATCCGTTTCATCTTTATTAAGAATCATCAGCAGTGTGCATCTCACGAAACTTAAGATAGTCTCGAGTGAGTGGCGCTATGTCCTGTCTAAGCGGGAGCCAATTACACTACTGAATAGCCACTCATGGCCGAACGGTTAAGTGTTCAACCGCTGGCTGGAAGGTTTCGGGTTCTAAACTCGAGTTTCGTGAGGATGCGCAATGCTGATGATTCCCAATAAGGATGAAACGGTTGCACAGCACTTCTCGGCTTCTCAGCATAGATTGGTTTTGCTTCCAGGACGAAATCTCCATTAAACATTCCTAAAACTCCTCACACTACCAACCAGTGGTACAGTCATTTTTTTGCATTGGTTGAACTTGTTTACTGTGCACATTGTACCTGCAAGTTTTTCCGTGTTTCATGCCAGCTGTCCTTTTGTTGGACCGTTTCATTTGTCCAACACTCTAACTAGCCTGCTTATTGCATGGATTAAAGGACCTACCTCTTGGTGGAGTCAACCAGAGATTTACTGCAGTTCACAAAGCTGATTGGTAGTTTCTTTGGGCTGTCTTGTTCTATGATCCCTGTGAACTTCACCAAAAACACCACTTACCCAAATAATAAAGTTAACTAAGCACAGGAACGGTTACTGAAAAAGTCAGTCTCGTTAGGCGGTGTCAGTGCAAGACATGACACAAATCAGTCTTCAACCGAACTGTTGCTCTACAGATCTATGACACCTGACGGGGAAACGGGTATCACTACCTTTCCATGCACATATGTGATTTGTCCAGTTGTATCACGTGAATGGCGAGTAAATATATTTGTCTTTGTTCTAACCTGTTGGACGCTTTCCACAATTCTTCGTTATTAAGACTTAATGTTTTATACGTTTTGCGGCTGATTTTTTACTACCCCCAGATGCATCCCATCGAGGACTTTGTTAATTTCTTCACATTTCTCCAAGAATTGGGACAGTACTTCCTAGAGGTGAAGGAACCTGAAATCAAGCACGTGCTGTCTGACTTGTTTGTGGAGATTTTGCTACCTGTGGCTGCAGTTGCTCGCCAAGAGGTCAACATACCAGCGCTAAAGCAGTTTGTTGAGCTTCTTTACCCGACCAGTTTGGAACTAGCTGGCAAAAAGAAACACGTGCCGGTGAGTATAGTCTTCCCTCCTACAGAGGGCACCGCTGCTGGTGATTATTCAATTATCCTGGCCTTTGTACTTCTCTACCACCACATCATAAACCGTTAGGTCCTTTGAGGTCACGTGAGTGCAGACGCGAGCTGAAGTTAACACAGACTTTCCAACGTGGACCCCTGATCAGAGAGGGTCATGGTGATTACTTTTCGGTTGCTAGCACGGTTTCAGGCCATGGGTGGTTGGGTTATGCTGCTTGTTTGGGCTTGTTTGTCGAGCTTAGCGATTGCTGTCAGGTTCGTTTTGATTCGATGATTTCCCCATAATTTTTGACGTGTACGAATACAGCCTGATATGTCAATATGGACCTCCCACCCTAGTAACCACTGTTTGGCTCTTTTCTGAGAGCATCGTAAGGTTTTCCAAATACTGCACGTCAATCTCGGACACAACTAACCATGTCCTACAGGGTAAATTTAGGAGAGCTGTGTGCATAAATGCACAATTACAGTCCTGATTGTTGTTTTCAGATACCTGTTTCCTTGTGTTTGGATTAATACCCTTTCTGCTTTCCTGCTTGACACTCACATTTGGAATCGGCTCCTTTTGCCAGACAGAAAAACATTTCGGTACAAACTTACTCAACCACCCATCTTTTTCGCGATGAATCCACTTTGTACGGTTGAATTGGATGACTTTAGTGATCAAGCCGTAGATCTCATTAAAAATCAGACCCACTGTTTACGAAAATATGCTCATTGAAAGTAAATACACTCCGAAATAGGTTTGGACAAGAAATTATAGGGCCGCCATATGACGCCTTCTTGTTGAGAGATTATAATGTCTTTTCGAGCTGTTTAACCTCACAGCCTTGGTAGATCACCTCACCATACTTTCCCAACTAACACTTCGTCATTCGTTTTTCAAGGCAACCACGAACTCGGTTGTAAGGCCATAGTTATCGATGCACTCGCTATACCAGTGTAGTGGTTGAGAGTTCATGGAGAATGCTGGCACGTCTATTGCGTCATACTTATCCTTGGGGTAGAATCCATTACACTGGCTTACAAAAGTTTTGAGGCGAAATGGCCGAAGTGTATCATCAAAGTCCCCCTCGATATCAATCTGGTGTTTCTACGCCATTTGCTCAAAGTGGTATCCGTGTGAATTCTGGGATTGTCACATGATGACCATAATCCGTCCAGTTACATTTTCACAGACTGGAGTTACAGTAAAAAACATGGACGGTCTTAGTTTTTTGTGGGGTGTATTGTTGACATGTTTCGAGTGTGTCAAGCTTTGATTTTCATTTGACTTTTTCTTTTCAGGCCCTTTTTCCTCTAGTTACTTGTCTACTTTGTGTTGGGACAAAGTCATTCTTCCTCACTCATTGGACCAATTTTCTCACAATATGCCTCAGTCAACTAAAGAGCCGAACACCCAAGGTCGCCCTCGTCAGTTTGCAATCATTATCCTGCCTAGTTTGGTGAGTGTAGACCCTACTGGTTTTAGCGTAGCCTTTTTGGTGGACCATTCCCCCAGATATGCAAAAACCTTATCTTTCGGATTTCGTCGGTTTTGATATTTATGTAACAGATAATCATGCCAACTATCTCGATCCGTATCAGTTCACTTGTTAGTACGTTGGCACTGGTCAGGTACTAGTTTTGTCCGGAACGTGCAAGCAACTGTCTGACCTCAAATGCTCGTCACTTGAAGCCTTAAAAATTAGGGAGTCGTGCTAGAAATCAAAAGTGGTCTAATTGGGTCATGCTCAACAGTTTGCTGTCGATTGACTGAGGTTTCTTTGCATACCTGAGTGCGCAAAATACCCTGAACGGCAAATGATCTACGGCTTGGTAGGCCTGGACTATTGTCCCGTAGCTTACATAAACTCCATGCCATAGGACATTCCTCGATTGGAATAACAATGTTCAGGCATGATCGGAATGGATTTCGACCTGACCATTATAAAATAACGTACGAGGCTAGTTGTGCAAATGTGGGGACGAAGTCGACAGGTCTCATACAATCTGAACACTGGCTCGGAAGGCAAATTCCGCGATGCCTGATTTTGATTTGTGGTCTGGTTGAGTAAACGTAACGATCCATCTGGGCGAGCATAGCTTCCAGGTTCTCCAAGTTATCAACTCACAAGGCGACACCTGCAGCATGCTTGATATCAGAGATCCAAATTTCTGACGAAAACTGTCCTACACAATCCCCGAGTGCTTATTTCTGACAGAGGCTATACAGCAGCAGGTCTTTTGGGAGCACCTCATGGGGCGCAAAATCCGAGTTTACCCGTTCACCCTACTGACCTTGCTGAGTTGTTCGGAACCTCGGATAGCTAGCCAAAGAGAAACATCAACAAAATCAGACGGCTTCCAGGTTTGACGCAGGAAGGTCGAGAATTTTACTTCATCTGGGTTTTGTTGGCAAGTCGAAATTTTACGGGAACCGTCCTTTTGTCAACTTCATTATTATCAGTTCGGTTACAGTGTTCTCTACACGGTGTTCACTACTGTTCTGGTAAAAGTTCACTGGAACTAGCAATTTTATTTTGGTTCAAGACAATCATGTTAATGTTTCTCGAACTCCGAATCATTGATCACATCTAGACGCCCAAACCCATTCTTCGGTAATCTCTGTTTTTGCAGCGCTTTTCCGAGTTTTAGCGCTCATCTATGGCTGTCTGTCACTGACACCTGTTTCGCGTTTCGAATCTTCGCATCTCTGTCTGTTCGTGATGAACAAAATGACTACCGTGGTATCATCACCTATCACTTCACAGTTACCGCAGGTCAGGAGGCAAACCTTCTCTTAGATTTTTAAAATTGAATTGTTCATCTGATCAGGTACTATTCTATACCCAAATGAGTTGGGCTGTTGTTCGCCTTTGGTCTTTCATCCTTAAACTCGGCGTCCAGCATGCAGTGTTTTTCAGGCTAGTCTGTCGCACCTGATTGAATTCCGAGCAACCTATTTGGATCGACACAATATTTTGAGCTGCGGCTGCGTGGTTCAAAGTTGGTGTTTGGTTGGCGTGACTCGATTGCATTGTGTGCGCTGACACCCATACACAGCCGCATCTCACGGACGCACCGAATTTCGTTATCGATGCGAGTCACGTGAGTGTGGACGGACTGTACACTACGAACAATCGATCTCGTTGTTGCGTGCTAAGTCTGCTGATCCCATACCCTTCGTTCACACCAGTCAGGAGCTATCCACAAACAGGCTGATTGTTTAAAATGCGATGAAATTTTCCCTTCCGTTCAGTAACTCATCAGTCATTTGATGCCCGGAAACAGGAGCATCCTACCTTCATTCAATGCAATTGATGTACCAGTTGGAGTTAGTATTTAAAGGCTGAAAAAACATGTTCAGCTGGTAGAGCTAAGCATTTTCTGTTGACTCTGGCCCTAACTCTTAACGACGTGAACAAAAAATACTTATAGAACGAGTGCATTTTTAAGATCGGTAACGTGAATGCAGATGCGACTGCTAAACTATCGTTGCTTTATTTATTCATTTATTATTTATCCATTTTATTTATTTACGATTTATTTATTCATTTATTATGTAAGCTGTGTATTTATTTATTTATTGTTTTTGAATACCGAGTTGCAACTATCCCGTCAACCTTGTACCTATATCTAGAGTGGGCCTTAGGCTAGAACAAACCAACAAACCACTGTTTCTGTGTCTACACCATTTTTTTGGATATTTTTTTGCATATTCATTTTGATAGAATTGGGAACAATACGGTGTAATGGGGAGAAACTGCGAATCTCGCAAATATCTAAATTTATTTGTCATATCAGGTGTTCAATTCGTTTTTGTTATTTGGCAGCTGTTATTTTCCGTCTGTCTCCACCGTAACTCATTAGCGAAACCGCGGATAGACTGTATGATTGTTCTGGTTGCCGCGGCTTCGTTCAAGACGCCGATGGGAATGTGGAATGGAGAGTTGCACAATAAAGACTGCCATTGTATTTTGATAGTGGTAAGGAGGTACGGGTGACCAAATGACCAGATGCCTCCTCGTCGATATGAGGCAAGTACGGGAGAAAAGTATTATTATTTGAGTTGATGCGAAATTCTCTTGTAGATTAGGATGTATCTAGATTTGCCAGAAAGCTTCCTATCTTTTCCTTCGCAAGGAAATCAGAAAGGTAAAATACAGTCCTTGTATCTATTCGGTATCCCAGTCAACACGTTTTATTGAATCAAGCAGTGAAACAGTTGTAATGGAGAGAAAGTTGGAATATGAAATTTCAGATCCCGTGTTACTGGTTGATGCTTCTTTAACTTGGTTTCCAGTGGTAGATGTTTCATTCAATCATCAGTATTAGTTTTTCTATTTAATCGGAAATGGGGACGCTGATTACAGATGGATAATTTGGTGGGATAGGATCTTGACTATCAAGTGGGATTTAATCGATATCTGGGGCAAGCGTTGTTACATCGTCATCATATCAGTTTGGTCACTTGATGAAAGTCTGACGAACATAGTCTACTGATCTTCCAGATTGAAGACTGGAAGAAGTGTGGTGGTTTGCTCCTTGAAATGTAGTCTTCTCAAGTAGTTTCAGACCGATCACTGCTGCCTCACTGTCAGGCTTTTGAACCTGATGCTTTGGTTAGGATCTCGCCTTGCTGTCTAGGTTTGGGCTCCCTGAGAACAGCCCAGTCCACATACAAGCATGAACTTCACAAGTACAGATATCCTCTTGCCACATCAACCGTCGTGTGGTGAAGTCAGCGGAGTCGCCTTTTTTGCTGCCGCCATCCCTTGTCCTTCTTCAGTGTTCCCTCCGATGTCTCCTATCTTGCTTGGTAATCGCTCGTCTGTAAATCTCGAATACGTCACTCAGGCACTTTTGGAACTGACGCATCACAGGTCACCGCTCTGAGTTCGTATTTCGAGTCCCATTCTCCTGTCTGTACTTCAACTTTTAATGTACACTTTTAGGCGGATTGGTCAACCAGCTGCCTCTGAGCATACTCTGCTACATCTTTAGAAATTGTACCCATGGTCTAGCTTTCGTTGTTGAGCTCATGGTACAGCTTTTACCTGGACACTGCTCACCACAAACTTTGGGTAATCCTCCAGCTGCTGTGGCAGGTGGAGTCGGTGTTCGTATAGTCCTCATTTCGCGAGCTGATGCTTTATTGCTCAATTGGGTGGGCTTAAACCACTGACTCCGCTGTGCGATTCTTCACTTTATTAAACCTCACACTGGATGAAATAAAGCGCTGTTTGTTTGTTGTGTCCACTGACACTGTGACGAACTCTATCTCTGATTAACTGAAAGACGCCTCCAATCGATAACTGACCGCATTCTTGTCCACCACAAAGAGCTTGGATATTGTCACAACAGCATGAGATTTCAATGCGTGGGTAGGACGCAGCAGTTCACCAGAAACCTGCCTTGGTAACGTTTTCAGTTTGGATGCCGAACGCAGTGACAATGTTGAGAGTCTCTTGCGACTTTATACTGCTCCACAGTTTTTTCTCAGAAGCACTGGGTTTGACCGCAGTAGGTGACATTGTGCTATGAACGCCTGCTATGACTTCCTGCCTGTGGCCACACATTATCCTGCCAACTTGTGCCTGGAAACCCTACAGGATGTTGCTCGCAACTGATCGTGCTCAGTGGTTAGAGCGCTAATCTACTGACCGGAACCTCCGTGGTTTGAACCCGACCTCTGCATCTGGACTTCCCTTGTATGAGCTTGGACAATCAGCCCTCATGCTTCCTCCATGTAGCATGGCAGCTAGGCACCGAAAGGGTGTTACAGCTGGACGATTATCTTTATTTTATTTTTACGCAACTGATTCCACTACTGGCACACATTGTGTCACTTCCTAGCTGGACTTCGTTTTGTACTAGGTTCACGTCCTGGGTGAATCCAGCCGGTAGTGCCCTAATTCTACTTTATAGTCAGGTTTTTTAATTTTTATCGTACCTAAATTTGTCTGTGTAGTTATCATTTGTTTTATCGTTTGCCCAAGCACCTATGACTTGTTCGCACTCGGTTCCTGCTCTTCATTTTTCCAACAATCGTTAGGGGTTTCTTTCGTCATTGATGTGTGACAGTTGAGCACCAGTCTGTATTACTTTGTGTACTGTTGTCAGTGATAGTGGTGATTATGAGGAATGAATGAATGAATGATTGAATAAATGAATCAGGCAGATACAAAACATTTTCACCATTCGGTTTCGCACGCGTAGTGAGATCAGCATTTTTGTGGTAAACAACAGCGAGTCTGTGTGTTGTTAAACGATCTCAATTCCCTGGGTGAGAACTCACATAACGAAGGATGTGCTGTCTGTGGGCATGCTCGGTTTGTTGTTGTCGTTACTGTTCGAAAATAAACTAAGCGGCATGCAGCCAAAATTCGCCAAAATGTTTCAGTCTTCAACCCTCCGATATCTTACATGCTTGGTGCAACCACATATACGTGCTCTTTTCTTTTGGCATTTGCGTTCCATATCATAATCCTTTCGATGTTTCTCCTTATCAGGGTTTACATCGTACGAATCGGGGGCGAGAAACATTTAGAAACCCAAACCAAGCTGCATCACATTGTGAACAGTTTGTTCCCAAAAAACCAGAAGTTCGTGGTGCCTAAGGATGCACCGGTGAACATATTTGTGCGCATCATTCAGTTCATCGCCCACGTGAGTACATAGTCGGTACATACGCGTGAAAATTTGCACGTTAGCTCGCTGGTGGAAAGCCCCTTTTTGGTGTCGTGATCGTCACACTAAGCTCAGTGCTCTCGCTCAGACACCTTACAATGTTTTCAAATGGCGCATAAAAGTGGTTTCTAAACCGCCTTTCAAGATCATCTACAGTAGGACTAATGTATTGCTGCGGGTGATGATATTGGTGGTGATGGACGTACTCTGCAATTTATTCAAATGACCCGCCTCGTTTCCAGCCGTACGTTCGTTCCCAATTGATGACCGTGGAACGACTTTCTGTCAGCAGTTGACAGATCTCATTGAAATTCAAACCCAACCTTCGAATGCGGTCTGCCTCAAAACACCAACATGGAATAATTGGAGCGATCAAACCATTGGAGCAACCCACGGTTCCGTTTCATCGAGAGGCGTTTTCATGGTGTCTAAGCGTATGCCTCAGAGCCTTGATAGCCATTCGCTTTTCCCAATTTGTCCATTTCTTGGGCTAAGAATACTTCACCTTTAAGTCAATTGCTTTGAATTTAATGAGGAGTGCGACATGTACTCTCTTGCACACCATTTCGGTTTTAATGGGAGGCTCACCTGGAACCCAGCTGAATATTTCATTTATGATGTTTTTAAGCAACTGATTATGCTGCACCAGGCCGCCTCATGTTTCAGTATCGCGTTACATATATAGACGTGATGCACTACTCATAAGGTTGGTGAAAACTCTTCGACAGCCCACGACTGGTTTCTCCCTTGAAGCTCATCACGTAGGCGTAGTCCGGAGGTGGCTCAGTTCGACCCAATGAATCGACCGTCCAGGCTGATTTTCTGTAGTAATTATCACTACCTCCCTCCGAAAACTCATCCCATTAGTAGTCATTATTCACTTGGCACTATACCTCCAGGTCACAGCATTTCTTCAGGCTTGTGTCACTTGATCGCCATTTTCCTCCTTGTTTCGCCACTCATGGTCATCACTAGATTGCTCACAAAATAGGGATGCTCATGCCATACGCACGTCACACAGTACCTTATCACAATGATCCATGCTTTTCGAGAATCTATGCAGAATATAATCAACACGTCATAGTCTGTTTGTTACTTGCTTGTTACTTACCTCTTTTGATTTGTATGTGCCTACTTATTGGGAACCCAGTACACCGTCGGTAATGCGTCGTGCACCGATAACTATCATCGTAGGTGTTTTCGCTGAGCTGGTCTACTTATTTTTGTGGCAATCTATTCTGTCCATGATCCGCAGGTTCATTTGGCCCTGTTCATATGGCTCGCCTTGAATATAGTTTATTTACTTCCATGAAAAGCCTGACCGGAATTTTTCCACTTTTCGTAGGAAAAACTCGAATTCGCCATCCGTGAAATCATTATCGATCGACTTGGTGTGAATGGACTTCAGAAAAATCTGTACATGCCTGAGGTAGGTCAGATTTGACGTCACCTCAAAGGCTGTCCTGCTTTGAACTGTTGTGCTGGTGGATTAGAGTGTTTTCTGTGCCGGACGGTCATTTGGCTTCGCAGTATCAGTGTTGTGTTTTTCTGTGCGCCGAAAAAAAGTACGGGTGCTTTTGGAATCTGATCGTCTGACGTTACATTTCTACACCGGAACAGAAGTACACTTGAAAGCTTCCCCGTAATGGTGGACCACTGGTCTATTCACTTGAGCGGTGCTTAGTTTTCGTTAACGTTTTCGTTGAAAATATATAAAGTACGTATTTGCACATTAAACCTGTCCACGGACGTTGCAGCTCTTGTCTTTTATAGACAGCTCATACGGAACACCCTTTTTGGTAACCCTAGCTACAAACAGGCCCCACATGGGTATTAATAGTCCGATTTATGTAGGGAGATGCCTTTTCTTCCCTTAAACTGAAATGTGGATTTTATGCACCAGACGTAAATTTTATGGAGAATTTCTCTGAGACTTTTCCCACTGTCGGTCAGTCGGCCCATCTGTGGTCCGATTATAACGTACACTATATTTGCATCGAGCTCATAACTTGCTTGATGTTCATGTCCTATCTAAACTCATCAGTGTAGTAGACGTCAGGGGCTTCTATCGTGAGTGTGTTCCAAAAAAGTTAACTAGGAAGCATGCGAAGTTTTCTTACCCAGTGAGATATGGAAGTAAACATTATTTTAAATTGAAGGACATTATGAACCGAAGTGTTTTCACAATATTCTCAGTCAGGATAGGTTGTTGCACGGCAACACGGAACGAAAACAAGCACTGTCAAACTGTCCGTGTTGGAGTTGCGCCATTTTGGCTAGTGTTTGAAACTCACAGGATGTCTCCTGAACTGCTCCATAGATGACCGCACTTTCACGTGTTAGTGGACTGCCTAGCTAAAGCACAGCTTTTCGGTGTGGCTCCCTGAGGATACTGGTTCAACCCCACAGGTGTCTTTCCACTATGATACGTTTACTTCAGCACTGTTTCCCCTGTGGGATTTTGCAATAAGCCACTGTTGTTTTTTTCATTCTAAATTAGGACTTATTTCGATGCTTATGTGACATCAGCATTTAATACTGGTATCCTGCTGTCCATGATGATATGCGTTTGACCAACTTCTCTCCATATAGTATGATGCCCAGATTGATCTCCTCCAAGCTTAGGAGATCGCGTAGGTCAAACTGAAGGAGGACATGAAGGGTTAACGGTTCACCTGAAAGCTTGACTTCAGCACCAACGCATTCCTAATCATCCTTGAGATTATAGCGCTCGAACAGATGGGGATGAAATAACGAATCCACAATATGGTAATTCCATTTTCCTGTATGGGGGAGCCCAGTATTACTTCTGTTTCGAATTAACCCCAACTCTACAGTAGCTGTTGTCGTAGAGGTGTTTTTGTATAAGCCCTATTAGTGTGATGGGAGAAGGTAACTTAGATTAGGAAGCGTTGTACATGTGCTACCCGCTTAAACGTTTCAGCCACTTAACAGCAGTCTTCACGCTCGTCCATATTTTTACTTCAGCGGATGAATATTGGTCTGTGCGCCTTTCTACTTATTGCCCACGGACTGCAACAAAAAGAAGGTGCTCCTCCCATGCCTCAACCGTGCCTTGGCGCTGGTGGTTTTCGGCAAGCGGTGATCAAACGTTCTTTCCATGGTACTAATCTGAATGAGACTCTTGGACATCGACTGGGCATTCAGAACTACCTACTGCCCATTCGTCGAGCGTTCGAGCTAATTTTGAGACAGTTAGACACTCAAGTCTGTCGAACCATGATGCTTTCCAAACTGGACGTATCACAGAAGGAATTCGAGGAATTGATGTCGTGAGTTACCGTTGTCTGGTGATTGTCATTTCGTATGTTCAGGCCTGAACTAGCTGATGGGATAGCTTAGTTGTTAATGCCCAAACTTACTGACCGGAGGTCAGCAGTTTGAACCCAAAATTGGTCAAATTAACAAATTAAATTGAATCCAACTAGGGTTGGACACCCATAACTAAATTGCATTCGTATAGCTCTGATGGTGTCCCATGTGCACTTTGTGGCGAACATTGAGGGTTTTGCCATTGATAACGGCGTTGGCTCATACTGCATTGATTTTTAATTTGGTGCGTGTTGCCTTCGGGAATGATATCTGAACAAACCAAAACAAATCAGCACATCTCGGTTATGACGTATCATTCACCTTTTTGGTCAGTAATGGTGTCACAGGTGTTTCGCACCTCAAGCTTTCTGCCACCGGCTTGTCCATTGTTCGAGGTGTTCACGAAGTGGTCAGAATATATATGCATGTATGGGAACGCGCACAATATGCGGGCCTAGACCGATGTTAGGTTGTGTTTTAACCTGATTTTCTTCAAGCTACAAATTAATGGACACGAATGTGACCGTGTTCCGTCCTTTTTGCCTGCCTTATACTTCAGCACCAAAATCACGCACATTTCCTTGTGCGTCATAGGTACACCAGTTTTTCACTTCTACAAACCTTTTTCAACATGGTAAAGACACTTCTGATCAATTTTGTTGCGCACCGCCGCATTTGAATGTTATCAAGAAAGCCAGATTTAATAGGGTTTACTACATTCTTCACCATCCCCTCGTAACATGATACATTGAATATCATTGTTCGTTCATGCTTGGAAGCTAAATTTGTACGACGAAAGGATGAGGTACCTAATTGGTGGCTGTGCAGCCAAATACCACCGACTTTCCATTGAGCCCTGTCCTTCCGTTTTGATATCTACGCAGTTACTGCCCAGTCTGTTATCTAAGAGATTGGTCTTGCGTTAAGTATCTGTGTTCGCACAGTAGGTGTCCCTCTCCTGTGTTTCAGACAGGTCATACCAGTTGGTTCGTCTAGTTGCAACCGTGATTGATGTGTTTGATCTCCGAATTTCAGTCATGCCGTTCACCGGGTGTAAGGATCTGTGGGCGTTTTGGAGATTTCGTGCTGTAAATGAGTCAATCTATGTCCTTCCGTTTTGATATCTACGCAGTTACTGCCCAGTCTGTTATCTAAGAGATTGGTCTTGCGTTAAGTATCTGTGTTCGCACAGTAGGTGTCCCTCTCCTGTGTTTCAGACAGGTCATACCAGTTGGTTCGTCTAGTTGCAACCGTGATTGATGTGTTTGATCTCCGAATTTCAGTCATGCCGTTCACCGGGTGTAAGGATCTGTGGGCGTTTTGGAGATTTCGTGCTGTAAATGAAGTCAATCTATGCTGAAAAGCCGAGAGTTACTATGCATTTGTCTCATCCTTATGGAGAATAGTCAGTAGTGAGTATCCCACGAAGTCCAGAGTTCCGAACCCGTGACCTCCCAGCTAGTAGTTTGATTACTTAAAGTGCACTTTTGCCGTGCAGCCTCAACAACTCGCCAGTCAGCTTTGTTCATTTCATTTTTAATTTGTTTCCTTAGAGCTGAACGTAAACCCAAAATGGACCTGTTGAAAACTTGTGTGGCATGTATTCCGCGGTTGTTGCCAAATGATATGACCAAACCGGAGCTCCTTGAACTACTGGCTAAAGTGTGTTTGCATCTGGATGAAGACGTGCGCAACATGGCTCAACAGGCCATGGCAAACCTAATAGTTGAGTTGCCCGCATTCCGAGTAAAGACAATTCAAGGTGAGCATTCATCTCGTATCCATAATGTTGCTTAACCAGTGGGGCCCCATCTCCCCTCACCGCTCCTCACCGTTTAAAGTATAGCACATCGCTTCAAAAAAACTGAATTTTTCAGAGTTACGCGAGCCGTTCTTCAGATCTCATTTGGATGAGTTCAAAAAATCAGTGAGTTGTTAGATTGGATAGAACTTTCGCTATACTGGGCGACATTCAACTATGAAACTAATGGTTGCACCATTCTAGCGTCGAAAAAGAGTTGTCAGCAATATTAGAAACACCTAACTTGGTTAGATTAAGGTGAATTAGCTCGTCAATGAATGTTAACATCCCTGGAATTGGTGTGCACGTCCATATGAGTAAGCGTTGGTTCACTTCTGCCTTTAGCCTTCACCTTCACCTTTTTCATAGTGTTCATTCAATTCATCCAAAAAAACGTTCCGGACACGTCGCCACACCAATTGGACAGCAGTTTGAAAACCCTTTTTCACCTACTTAACAACTGGAATTTGGCGCTGCAAAAGGTAGGCAGTGTTCTGAATCCTGTTCCTCATTGTGATTCAGTTTATCGTTAATGTGCATATTATTTTCCCTAAAAGTAACCCAGCTCCTGTTGTAGTGCGCTGAAAATCTGCACGAAACCGCCGCACTGATAGTTGTTCTACTCCCCTACGTGGTACGCTTTGTATGCGCTTGTTTGTTGGGGTGACTTCGGTTTCGTGAATCAGATGTGATAGGCTGCAGTTGTTAGATGAAAAGAATACACTGCATCTCTAATCGGATTTTGTCAGGCGCAGTGCCTTTCTTGGAGCCCTAGATACTGGAAACGATGGCAGTTCACACAACTGAAATTTTCGACTATAACAAGACACGAAAGACAGCAGGTCGCGAGGGTTAACTTTGCCTACGAAGGAACACCTCTGCATAAAGCGCGTGTTACAAAAACGGTTTATGGGCTAGGTTTATCACGTGTAATTTCAGTATTGCGTTTTCTGTTTGCATCTTTTTATACGGAAAAGCTCTCATCAGTAGCATTTCACAAAAGCTTATTTGCTATACCACCTAACGTTCTTATTCAGTAATCCTCTGTTACATCCTAGGACGGTGCCGTTTCACCCAATATTACGGAGAAAGCTGCGCTGCATGAAACGGAGGGATTCGCTCTGGTCATGCTTTGCCATTGTCGGACAATCACCCGCCGCCTGGCTTTGCATATACTGCGTAAATGCAGGTCACTGTTAAGCCTAATCAACGCCGCTACTTGTGATCCGAATGCACGACAGCCTCGTGAGGAATTGTGTTGCATCGATGTTTTGGACCAGTCAGTACCAGCTATATTGGAACGTGTTCTTCCTCTCATCCCTCTGCATGAACGAGTAAGTGGCACCCAGCCAATATTGCGAACAATGTCTCCGGTATCGGACATGTGATCTGATGCTCGAGGGTAGTTTATCGCCAGTACTAAAAGATAACGCCTGTACCTTGATATTCGCTTCTGCATAGCTTCTCGGTAGTGGAATGTTTGTGTTGCTAGGTGAACGTGGATAATACCTTTGTCTAAGTGTCACTACCTCTGCTGTACGACCAGGTAAAGCCATTCTTCGATCAGCTGATCCTGTGCCCAAAGTTACCAGCATTAGTCCGACGTCAGCAATAACTTACCGCCACCAGAGAAATGGCGAGGTCCATCAGGATTAATATATTAGAAGCACTGCCTACTCAAAATTATTACAGCTTGATTCAGAGTTTGTCTCTTTTAGCATTGAAGCTACTATTATGCAGCGTTCTGTGCTGTAGCTGATCCAAGGTTTTCAAATCGTAAAGCTGAGTCGATGTGGGGGTGTTACAGTGTACAGTTCTGCTGGGACTGCATGCAGTCGATTTTTTAAAATATTTTTATGTGCACTGTTATTATTACTACGGAGAACGTCGTACTTAAAAGCGCATCATTACATGCAAGAAGATAGGCATATCAGGTAGGACAATCTACGTTATTGCTAATATGGTAACACCAGTGCTGAAACATGGATTAGTAGTCCATCAGATGAATCCGGTGCAACTAACAGACAGCAGATTCTTTTTTATCAGTCTTATGAAACGAGCCTCGATCTTAGTTCTGAAATTCTTCTCGGTTTTCTAAAGCTCTTGAAGATCGGGTGTCAACCCCGCATGTATTCTATTATACTCAACCTTAGTTTCTTTCCAGTGGCATTGTGTACCATTCTAGGCAATATACTCTTTGGTGATGATCGCGAGGAGGAAGATAATGATAACGATGACTGTTTCGTATTTGTTTCATGCAGCATCTATTTTCCAACACGAACGGTCTGGACTTTTCCGTCTTTGCCGAGCGATCCAGCCCAGTATGGCTTAGTGGACCCTCTCCAGTTCCTCCTTGTCCACCTGTGGTCATACCAACCAACTTCGTCAGTCCACAACACTCGGGGCTCATGCCTATCAGTAATCTGTCCTCAACCACAGACCGTGACTCATCAACCACCGAGCATGACGACCAAAAACACACCTCTGAAGCTCTGACGAGAAATTCTGTATGTGGCCAGTGTAGCATGTTTACTGACGGCTCGCATCCTGGTGTCCTAGGAGTGACCGGTCGTCAACAGGACGAACAGTTACAACCACAGCAATGCACGTGTGAGTTGACCACTAGTAGTTCACGTTTACCAGAACTTAGAAGGAAGAGTTGCCTATGTTGTTTTGCACTATTCTGTACTCAACTGAAGAACTCTCTGGCACGATATGATTAATAGGGTACGTTGTGTGTTTTCCGTGAACATCCAATGCCCATTTATACCTGGTATCCAAGGCTGCCTGCTTTTTAGAGTAGCTGTGAACTGGCCATCCATCCCCACAACTATCCCAAATTTTCACCTCCGAGATTTCATCTGAGCGTTTCATTTTTGCACATTCAGACAAAGCAAGCGGCACTCCGGAGCAGTCATCTGTTTTACCCGGAGACCAAAATACTACTGCAGCCCATGTGGCTCGCCGCCCATCTCAGCGCCAACCTCAGCAGTATTCGTCAGCGCAGTACACCCAGGCCTATATTATCCAACCTTTCCAGGAACGAATTCTTCTGGGGGATGTGTGGGGCACGTGTTTATCCTGTGCCTGCAGTCCTGAACGCCTATTGACATGCAGTCCTCAAGCGATACGATACGCATGGAATGTACTCTTTCAGCGTCTATCAACTCTGTTCCCGCTGATTGATCCCAGGTATATTGCATCTGTTAGTTCTAGCGAAAATTATCCTAGCCTATGTAATTCAGGAAGTGATCATGTAGTGCTGCCTTTTAGTCGACATTTTATCTCCTTTCGTGATCCCGTTTCTCTCACTGTTTTAAGATGAAAATGCGTTCCACGTTCGGTGACTGAATCTTGTGTAGGAGCTCTTCTGTCATCGATCCCATTTTCTTCTATTCCATACAGTGCCCAAATTGCTGAGAACCGAGCCTCGTCTCTATTACGATCATCAAGTAAAAAACCGACCAATGAGCGGGAACAGCTGTTTCCTTTGTGGCACAACTATGCGGTCCTCGGTTGTTGCATTGCTCCGAGTTCGACAGGTTCGCGTGTTTCCAAACCTCGTGATAATCGATACGACTCTAGTGTTGACTTTACACCACTACGAGCTACTCCGCAGTCCACTGCTTCGTAAGTGTAACTGTTATCGTCATTAGTTCTTCATTATGAAAGGTCTCAAGGTATTATTACCTTACAACTTGCACAGTATGGTCAGTGCCTCGTACTATGCGCGTCCTGAGCCTGCTCGGGACCAAATAATGACCCAGTAAAATTTTACTATTATTCTTGTCAACAGCACTGTTCCTGAAAGCCGAAAAGGAATGCTTTTAATACAGTTCGCTCTTATATCACGAACCTTTTCCTCACGTTCGTAAAACTCGCACTCTCACAGGTCCCTTCCCTATCTGGATCGCTCGAGACAGCTCGGTACGCTTCGGATTCTAGGTCTGTTCCGCAGCGCTGTGCATTAGTCCCTAAACAAGAATCTCTCATGAAGGGTAGCAAAAGTGGTCCTGTTTTGACTGGTCCCTCATTGTATCAAACCGATGTTGCGAGTAAACTCCAATGCGCTTACCTTAACAGCATGTCCTGCTGCGATTGGTCGTTGAAGATAGCTGATGATCCCTCATACTTTTTGGTAAACAAATTCATCACAATAAACGATGGAAATACTACAGTTTGGATATTACAGAACTGCAAATACTGCCTGGCTAACTTTCTGTCAGCTGGAACTGATTCGACGTGTTCTGTAATCTATTTTGCCTGCTTCTTTGTCTTTAATGAATGATTGCTTGGTTTTGATTTATGATTCGTTTTGACGTTTACAACGAAGTAGAGCAACTCACCGACATGTCGTACTCAGTCCTCAGAGGACGTAAGCATGATATTGTCTCCGGAGGAAGAAGGGGCAGCAGTCGTTATTACCAAACGACGCAGGTATTCGAAATCTTTGAAGTTATGGAGATATCTGGCTGTGCTGAAGTTTCAGCAGGTAATCTTTAATAAATTCTAGAATGACTGAAGAGTGATTCCACTGAAATGTCAAATAACTGTTTGTTTTGTTACCCGGTTAGACGACCTATTGAGAACCCTAAAGTGTGGAATACCTTTCTCGTGGTTTACGTGCGCTATGCACTTTTGTGGAGTGGAATGTGTGGAGGGCAGAAAGCATGCATTTGAGTTGCGTATCTCGGTCGGTTGTCCTGTTGATAGTTGTGTTCAACAAGCGAAGCCCATTTTTCATGTCTTATAAACGAACTGAATCGTCGGTTTTCGGTATTGGAATGTTAAGAACACCATAAGCTAGAGATTCCTGGCGAGTGCCCCGTCAAAAGCAAAATGATAAGCCTATGAGTAATTGAGCATTCCTCTTAAGTTTTTGTGTGTTGTATTTGATAAGTCAGCATTTTGATCTCCATAAGGAAGCAAAGTGGCGTCGTCGCGGCGTTTGTGCGATGAACCCTTTCAACAGCTTGTCCACAGAAACGTGACCTCTGCACAATCACTGCTTTATTTAGTACCTGTGATTGTTTATTTGAGATCGTAGAAGATAACTTCCGCCACTTTGTGTTCCAAGCGTCTAACGAGCATTGATATGTAATACCATTATAAGCCGTCTGGGCCAAGCAAATCGATCGGTGAGTTGATTTGGTCCTTGGGGATTAGCTTTGCATGTGAACCCCTATTACCAAGATTTCAACATGACTAATGTGAAGCTTGTTTGTGATGATTGACGGCTGGGCAGCAACCTTTTTAAACGGGTTTCTTGCCCTTCTAATTCCACTTAATTGCAACCCTACCTTCAAACTTGCTGGAAGCCACCTTTTGCTCCTTCAGCTGGGTTCTTTTTCAACATCAGTGAACCTTATTCAACTTTTCTAGAGGTTCTTCTGGATAGGGATATGTGAGAATTAAGTTCCGCACGTATACCGGTAAAACCAGATGAACTAGAAATCTAGAATTCAGCACAGCGTAACAAGTAGTATGTATGTATTCGAATTTACGTATATGCACAGCATTTGGAATATTAAAACAAGAGAATAAGGAATAGAGCAATGAATAGAGTTTCAGTCATGTTCATTAAATCCGCCATACCTTGAATGAGCGTGTGGATGCTTATAGTTCAATGGTGGTCTTGATCGTAATCTTTCGGATCTTCTCGAATTGGAAACTTCAGGTTCTTCTCAGGTGGTGTGTTCTTCAGATATAACATTTTGTTCGGATACCATAAGATCATCTACAAATGTTTCTTTAGTATTTGAAACAGCAGGAGTGTCGTTAATAGACTGACCTCTGGTATTGAACTCAACCTGATCAACGTGTCTATGATGAAAAGGGAGATCATCCAAATCAAGAATTGTGACCATCGGTTTGCCATTTGGCGAAAATAATTTTCCCGTGGAAGGTCGCAAATCATTACCCTTGAAAGACGTAACATTAGCAGTTTGGACACAGTCGAGACGTGTATGCAACGAGCGAGATTAGATTAGTAACGCGGGACTCTTCCCAGCAATGTAGTGAACGGCACTCCTGTGTCGCATTAGGAAATTATCAATTTTACGGTCCAAGTCCACAAATGAAGTGGGAGAGAACGAGTGCTGGCAGTTTTCAGCGTTGGGACAAAATTCTGAGCAAGCCTATTCGACTGTGGATGTCGTGGAGCAGTAAACAGATGTCTACATCCAAGACCTTCCAACCATTCCTAGAGGAATTTGGCAGTGAAGTGTGTGTCGTTGTCAGTGACCATGGATACTTTCCTCAATGCTTGCTGTGTGAATTCGGCACTTGGAGACGTAGTTAGAAAAACTTCAGGCCAACGTGAATATGCGTCAGTAACAATCAACGTATAGTATTTACCCAGAAAAGGACCACAGTATCCGGCATTAACTCGTTGAAATGTTTCACAAGTAACTGGCCACGGATACCACTGTGAAAACTTGCTATGTACACCTTTAACCCAATGCTTAGCAGTATGCTTGATGTCAGCATCCAGTTCCGGTCACTAACATGACAACCGTGCAAGAGATTTCATTTTATCAACACTCAGATGACCTGAGTGTAAATCTGCCAGAACAGCCACTCGCTGAGTCGGTGGAATAATAACTCTATCCTCAAAGCACAACAACTCATCCGGAGTAATGGACAAACTTTCGCGGCAGGAAATCGGCGACGCTGTTGTTGCCTCCATCTACGTCGCAGTGCATAAAAACGGGAGCAAAATATTTTTAAGTATCAGCAACAAGTGCATCCCGCTTGACTGGTATTGGTTGGATCAATAAACAATCTGAATTGTTTGAAGGAGAGTCACAAGATGTAATTCTTGACAAGAAATCTGCATCACGAATCATTTTTGCACTACGATGAACAATCGTGTAGGTGTACGAACTCAGTGCAATAATCCGCCGTTGCACCATAGCGGCCGATGACTTCGCTAGAGAATTCGTTGGATGATACAAAAACTTAATAGCCTCGTGATCAGTAGCAATGGTAGAGTTTGACCCAAAAATATACTTATGAAGCCGCTTGACAGCCCAATATACCGCAAGTGCTTCTCGTTGAATCTGAGACTATCCATGTTCGACTTTTGAAAGTCGACGGGAAATGCAGATTACCGGTCTGCGACACTGTTCAAGGATTGCTCCTATTCCAGTGGGAGAAGCGGAAAATGGTTTCAAAACAGCTGAAGTTCGAAGATGACCACGCAATGCACGCAACGTCTTTTCATGGTTGGAGGACCAAGAAAATTGATTAGCAGAATGCCATCAAACAGGCAACTTGCATGTTTAGAAAAATAAGGAATAAAACGAGGGTAATACTAAAATGCTCCTAGAACTGAACACACTTCTTGTAGATTGGTTGGTGACGGCACATTTACCAAATGAGATAGACGGTTTGTATCGGGTTTAAAACCGCTACCATCCACAATGCAGCCAAGGCATGAAAATGATGGAACATCAAAAGTCCATTTACCAGCGTGAATAGCTACATTGAACTCAGAAAATCGCTTCAGTAAAGACAACAGACTCATATCATGGGTAGCTTTACCAGCAGTGTGCACTATGACATCATCTTGGTACGTCTCAACACCCTCCAAATCTTCTGTAGTAGTATTCATTACTTGTTTAAATACAGCTGGTGAAACATTCGAACCAAAGGGAAGGAAATTGTATCGGAATAACCTAAAGTTGTGTTAATTATGGTAACATCACCTTAGGAATCTTTTAAACCGATTTTTGATAACATAATTGAACCTGATAGGCGATACAGTACATCTTCGGGCTCTTCTCTAGTGCATGTGCGTTGTGGTAACCGCGTATTTAGCGTTAACCGGTAATCTACACAAATTCTATGCGTAATACCTTTAGTAGGGTGACTGTCGGAGTTACCCAATTCGATGACTCCACAGGAGTCAGTATTCCTTTCGCATACATTGAATTTAATGCTTGATGAATAGGTTCCCGTATGCCAAATGGAATAATTGGTCTCTTAAAAATATAGGATCTCCTGTAACTTTGAGTTTTACCTAGGGTATTTGCATGTCACCTGTAGCCTTAGAACATTGGGTTCATTCTCATTTACAGAAATCAGTAAAGTGACACTAGTTCGTAATTAGTGCAGAACTTTGTGTCCTATAATCGATGGTCCCGGGGTTGAAATTAAAAATTTCAATCAATGGAGGTACCTTGGGGCAATCTCACAGGAATCGTGCAGCTACCAACTAGAGGAATAGAATGTCCAGCGATACCACGAATATTAACATATGTAGGCGTTATCAACACAATGGGGTTGAAAGCAGTTCGATCTGAGTGTGGAATAATGGACTCAACACCACCACTGTCAACAATGAAATCATGTTTTGGACCAGAAGCGGATATCAAATTTTTAGAAACATGTGACGAATTTTGGGATAAAACAGATGGAGAAAATGTGCAGATGTCTTCAGGTAATATTTTCACATCAGTGATTGGATCAGAAGTTAAGCGACACACTTTTTTGAACTTACAGACAAGTTGAGTGCCCCGTTTTACCGCAGATAAAACACTTCGCTTGCGTGTGAGAGCATGAATATCAGAAATGGTTTTATCCACAAGATTCACATTTTCCAAATTTTCTGAGTGAATTAGAGTTACGATCTGTGAGGCAACGTATTGATGGATTTGGGGCATGAGAATTCGTCTGAGGTTTGCATTTGTTGTCCGTCTGCATCCTTAAATTGTTCCTGTTAGAATAATTTAACAACACTGCTTCATCGGACTTCGTTACAAGCTTCACCTCTTCATACTGCTCACATACTTTCCGAATAGTTTGAATTTTTTGCTCTCGACAGAGTAGCAGCTTCTGCTGTAATTCAGCAATGAATCTATCACGCAGTTGGTCTCCCAATTGGGCACCGTAGTCACATTTGGCTGCCTGTGTCTGCAGCTGCAATACGACGTCACAAACCGACTGAGAATGGAAGCGGGTCAACATATTGAACCTAACCCTTTCGGCTGCTATGAAGTTAATCGGTTTGAAGTGTTACAGAAGCTTTTTCTTCAATGCATTGTAGGAAATATGGATTGGGGATTTAGGATAAACTAAATTCTTGATCAATGTATACGCCTCCTTGCCAACAAAATGTATAAAATATGCCATGAGTTTCTTACCATCCACATCGGACTTTGTAAGATACCATATGTCAGACCGTTCCAAATAATCCCACACGTCTCACGCCGTTGAATTAACATTTAATGGTTCCATTTCGGCAGCCGTGATGGATCGCTCCAATCGCGAGGCCAAAATGTGATAATTGAGTCTAGCACGTACACCGGTATAACCAGACGAACTAGAAATCCAGAATTCGGCACAGCGTATGTAATCGAATTTACGTATATGTATAGCATTTGTAATATTAAAACAAGAGAATAATGAATAAGCAATGAATAAAGTATCAATCGTATTCATCACAGGATAACTGTATCTGCTGCTGATACTCTTATTTTTCTCGTCTTGCATGTTCCTGTATGTAGCGCAAGTCAGCCGTCAAATTCCATCTCTGAATCCCCTGAACCAAGAGTTTCTTCAGCACAATCGAATTCGGGTACCCCCACAAGCCAGGTTGGTACGCCCATGAGACCTACATCCACGAATAATCTGGACACCAAGTTTACCTCGCCGACTGTAACGCGTGAGACAGCACGTGATCTGGTTAGGTTACTTGTACCACTTTTACGATGTGAGCAGCCAGAAATACGTGATTCAACCGTTGGTGCCCTCGGGAGAATTAGCCCTGTGGCCTTCAAGTGAGCTTCAATAATTCAGTGCTTGAATTTTCTGACCTAATTATCTGATTAGATCTTGTTCCTTCGCTGTCGCTTTGCTTACTTTTTGGCATATTCCGCTTTCAGCAATGTTTTATCTTGGGGATTTCTATTCTTACCACCAAGGTCCGCCTCTATTGACTACACCATGAGCCTTCTGGGTCTCTTGAGAGGCAGTTTAAACTGGCGAACAAGTACTTACATAGGGTTTTACCCTTTGAATTCGCTTGCGTCTAAACATTCTACACATCGAATGCCTTTTGTTCCTATTTCTACCTCCGCGTTTCATCGCATCCATCTTTTCCCCTTTTGTAGAGATGCACTGGAAGAGCTAAACCCGTTACTCAAAGAATCCGTCGATCGCAAACAGGAGAACGTTCGACGTCGAAAACGTCGCGATGGATTACGAGCCTCACTCATTCGTGTACTTGCTTTAATGAGCCAGAATGGGGTGTTTGCCTATCCGTACGTTTTCCCCATTTTCCTCCGCTTACCTGAACTGACTACGCTGTTATCAGTTTGTTGATTCAGCAGCATATATTCTTTCTGTCCATTGTTGTAATTGCCACTAAGAATTTAAACCAACATTCTTTCTCGACTATCTCGCACTAGTGAATCCAATGCACTCACTGCCCAAGGCTGTCTCGTTTCTCAACTGACGGACTATCTGGATGGAATGCGAACCTATTTGGATTCCGTTGCTGACCAAGCCATTAATCCCACCGCCGGCGCATGTGTCGTCTCTGGTTCCGGCTCAATGGTTATCCCCGCTACCACAGGGTCTGCTCCGACCGGTTCACTGTTAGTGCCTGCAGTTGTTGGTGGCACCGCGTCGACTGTCTGCACGCCATATTCGGCTCCCACAGCTCCCCTTGCCCCCGTAACCTCAAGCACCAGTTTGGCAAGTTTGGCTTCTACTGAGAGCCATGTGCTTGTTGAAATACGACTGCACTTCAGTATATTTATACTGGAAGTCATCCGTCAACTTCCAAGTGAGTTTCCTTTGCTGCCTCATTCAACACTTTACAGTTCGCTGATGCGCCGTCGTTTCAGTTGCTTGACCATCTGCTAGCACTTCTTGTTTTTAGCCAACTATAGCAACCGAAGTTAAAAGTCTGGTAGAGTGAACAAAGGCTTATCGGAGTCTGTGTCGTGTGTAGTCTTGTCCCTTCTATTCTTGAGCGCGCAATTTTACCCTCGGTGAGTTGATCCCCACCGGTTTCGCATAAAATAACGTCAGTTTTGTGAACGAGCTCGACTTAATTTGGACCGTCGCCGTTCGCTCCATTGTTCTCTTACATGGGGTGCGGATAAGTGGCGCACATCCCGGCTCCTCTTCAGAAAAACTGGTTCTTGATCGATGACATCTATGTGCTAAGTCTTAACATTCGCCTCATTTTTTGCCAATTCCACATATGCGCTGACTTTTCCTTCACTCTTATTTAGTCTCATCTGATTTTTTTCTAACTTCAGGAAGACACCAGTCTCAGTGTAATAGTGCTAGACAATACAACTCTTGCTGTCATCATTGAATGTCTTTATTCATAAATTTCATGCGGGGTGGCCGAAAACCATGAAAATATTAGCCGAAACCCCGAAATTAGCGGGAGCCAATCGATTCCTCAAGTGCGGTCGTTCCAGTCACTGTCAAGTTCATCAATTTATCCGAAGGGCATTTAGAAATCCTCATGGCATTTTTCGCGCTTTAACTGTTTAGAAGGCCACTCAATTTGACGTAATTTGGCAATCATTCAGTTAGATAATTTGTAACACAAAACCATTCATTGTATGTTTATGAACGATATCGGATGAGCTAGAAGACTAGGAATGAGGTCTGAGTTAGATTGCAAGAAACCTCAAATCGCGGACACCCCCACATTGTCTAAAGGAAACATCATTTCTTGACCGAGCCGTAACTGATGAATTATATCAGGCTGATAGTTATTTTGCGCGTGTTTTTGGCAACTTTTCTCTCTATATTTAGAAGTGTAGCTGGTAAAGCTTTCGGGTGGTTTCCATCATTCTCGGAAAGAAGAGTTTTTCCAGATAGTCTGATTACATCGATGGCTGCCAACATCTGTAATACATATTATCCAGTTGTCACTACCTCCGCCCACGAATGTTATTTGTAGTTGACTAATAATCCGATCTATGCCGTTTCCATTTTCTGAACTGCAGTTTTTTGTTTAGTGCTACGTACGAGATAGTCGGCCTATGATAATTCGTCTATTTTGTGGACGTTGATGTTCTGATTGAGAGACCTCGCAAATGGACTGAACCTTATGGTGGTGTAGCGGTTTGTGAACCTCTGTAACTCATTGTGCCTTACTGGAAGGTCTCATTTTGCTACTCAAAGAGTTTCTTCACGACGGACAGAGATCTGACGAACACAGTCTGCTGGTCCTCCAGGTTGTGGGTAAGAAAATGAATGGCGAATTCTTCCCTAAAGGCTGGTGCTACTATGGCAGTATACCGGCACCTATCCTCTGCCTTGTGGTCAGGCTTTCGAGCCAAGGGCTTTAGGTTAGGACCCCAATCCTCCTTCTTCATAAGTGCCGGTACCATGACATCAACCCGTGGGCTTCACAACCAAATACCCTATCGACCATTATCTGAGTCACCTTGTCTATGTATACAAATTCAATTCAATTTCACTTCATCAGCTACAAACCGCGTACCATAGACTCCACCTGCTACAACAACAGACTACTGCCGTCACGTTTCTTCTGGAAAATCCACAAATTCCCCCCTCGCTACCCCAGCCCATTTCGAGTCCTCTGTATGCAGATCCGACCACCAGAGCCAAGACTGACAGCTTAGTTCGCTTCAAATCACCCTTAGCGGCCACATCTGCCTTCGGTAATAACCCTAACCACCTTTAATCAAATTTCCTCACTTAGCTGCACTCACTGTTCGCAATCTGAAAGAAGTAGGGCAACAAGCTGCTGTTGCTTATTGCCGGATTCTTTCCTCATTGATATATGTGCCGGGAACGAGAATCCAGGACGCTTGTACTGTAATTGGAATGACTGCCCCCTTCCTCCTCCCGCTTTTGGCGGTGCACCTCTGGTTATATAGAGGCCTCTTCGGATGGGCATGCCGAGATGGCCATCGCGTGGAAGCACATTTCCATCAGTTACCAGTGGTGAGAGTCGAAAACTGCCTGCTACTCTTGAAATACTTACGTGGACCTTGATCATTCATTTCTCTGATGCTGCGTTCGATTGTGCTTTTCGGGTTTGCACAGGTCACCCAAAGCTCGCTTACCTGTTGTGAATCTCGTTCACCTATAAATTGAAAATACTAATCACACGCAACTCATTCAGTGCATGGCTACTTATCCGATGTCGGATGTTAGCAATCACCCAAAGCTTTATTCCATGCTTTGATTTCTACCTGCGGTACAACTAAGCCAAGCTCTTTGTGACATTGGATTTCTGGTTATGCTGGAGGCTGAAATAAAAATCCTCTCTGGTCGCAACCACAATCCAACTCATCGCATCCTCCGACTTCAATATCGACGCAGACGAACATGTTAAATTGATCCGGCAGGCTGGAAATTGGAAGAAGCGAAAACTGATGGAAATGTTCGAAGGTTGTTTCACATGGTTCGTTGAACAGGTCGTGAGGAACTTCTTCCCAGTACAGTCACCAAAGGCCCCAAGGACTGTCTGATATCCGACTATAGACAGAATTATTCGAACAAGAATTTGATTGGCCACCTGCTACTCTGATCCGGACTTTGGTAGACTGTGTATACTGAACCCTCTTCAGCCCAAGGAGTGCTCTGGTGTATGTGTCCACTCAAGCGTCACCGTGTTCCTGGTCTCGACGACCTGCCACTTGTTCTGTCGGAGGACGGTGGTGAATTTCGCAGCCAAATATCTTCCTTACCTATTTGCACCCAAGAAGGCCTCAGCTGTCACCAACCTTTCGTTACCTTACAGCGACAACCGTAATCTTCAATCTGGGAATCGAAGGAGATTTCGATCGAGTATACGTTGTATTGACTACATGTTCACAATCCATTAGATGTTCGATCAATACCTTACGTTCAGACGACCCACACTGTTGATATTCCTTGGCCTTAAAGTTGTTCGCGGTTCTGCCTACCCGTTACCAATTTTAACTACGCTTGCTCATCAGGGGATACTCCCAGAAGCTTGTGATCGAAATGTGGTCCCTATAGCGACATACCTCTGGGTACTAGGGTACTCTCCAAAAACCTCACTAGGAATGGTGTCCGGTAAAGATGTGCATTTTGTCCACTCCAGTTCGACTTCTTTATCGACAAGACGATACGGCGAACGCAAAAGGATCTTTAGAACTCCAGTGTTTAAAACGTCTCCGGAGCACGCGAATGACATCATCCTTATGTTTGAAAACGAGGGCGAAACACAAGCTCTGTTGAATGAACTGACCACCGTCATGCCATCTTACGGTATGCACTATACATTCATAAAGTGCAGTCTTTGAACGGGCCGCTTGCAATTCAGCGAGAATCTCTGAAGGTTGTAGAGAACATGACGTGCTTCGGTAGCTCTGATTATTGTGTCTGATAAAGTTGTGAATGAATCTTCAAAGTAAGAATCGCGTCACTTGTGGTATCAGAAGAGCGGCTACAGTGAAGGCTGTGTTGTGCAATTGCTAATCGTGGCCTGCGCCGACAAACAATCTGGGATGTCTTCAGGTTTCCCGCCATTGATTTGCCAGAATTATTGCTAATACTGGATAACATTGACGATGAGGCAATTAGCAAGCGGTTATTTGTTTGTGCAGCAGATCGTTCGGTCACCATCCTGTATCACGGGCTGCGGTGGCTCGGCCATGTTCTCCGCATGCACAATCGTCCTCTCTTTGTCTCCTTCAGAATGATGTAAACCCCGAAGCAGAAAAAGGGTGACTTAGCAGAAGGTTGTGAACCTGATTACAACGAGCTTAGTTCTTATTGGAGTCCTGTTTCCCCATGTGTGTCCCGTGACGTTACTTATGCTTGGCTGGAGACCTTGAAATAAATGACCGCTGACCGATGTCAGTGGCGTTGGGATTGTTCATTTGTTTGCAGATTATCTGACTACGTATTCCGAGGTGTATGAACCTCACAATACTTGAGATGGGTGAGCACTGAATCCTTATCCATCCGGGTATTTTTCAGTCTAATGCTTTCAGTTTAATTAAGTAGACTCTGTGGTCGTATGACATCAGTGTTAAACCTGATGTTGCTGTCTCTGTTGATGATGCTGATGGATCTTTCTCTTGTTTTTGGTTAATACAGTACTCGATGAGTGTCCGATCATGGTGTTTTCACAATTCTAATTTCAGAAGACAAACGAGTCCAACTGTTGCCAAATGTCATGCGTCATCAGTTGTTTCTCTTAATATCACATTGGAGTGGCTATCATGACCACGTACTGGGCGTGCAGTAAGTTCCTGTCTGTTTCCATATTTCACTCTGCGTTTGTGTCGTGAGCGATTTTCCTATTAGCATTTGCCAGGGTCTAACCTAAATGCATGTCTTTTTTGATCTTCACCAGTTTATTTCATCAGAGTTTTGGCAAATTTATCTCCGGGTTGTGTGAATACTCAAAGGCGCACGCAGATGTGGTTAACTCGGCAGGGAGTTTGGTATTACGCTATTTATTATGCGGCTGTCGCAGACGAAGTTCTGATGACTAGAAAAATGCTGCCGGAACAACGTCATTCTTGAATACTCTGCATCGCCACCATACCAATCAAAGGGAAATTAATTCCTTGAAGTGTTAGGTTGTCGAAAATACAAGCAGTAGCACATAGAGAATGCGAAATTGAGTCATATTCTGGTGAATCTGTTTTCAGTCCTCCTTAGTTCACTGAGCTACATGGAATGAATGAGTGTATATGCAGTCTTTCCGAAGTACTTGCGCACTTTTACGGTTCGAGGTACTTTCAGTATGTCTCCGCTGTTGTTTGCTTCTTATTCACGTAAGATGTGAATACTAATCCTCAAATTTGAGAATGCTGCCTATTTGCAAGCTTCCCGATAAGCAGACTTAGCCTAACTGGTTAGGTAGCCCCAGTTGGTATGTCAATTTTGCACAGGGCTTCGCCAAGTTTAATAATTACCCTGATCGTGTAATAATTTTCAGTTCCGAACTTGGCTCTTCGGATGTATCTGTCTTCGGTACCGCGGGCACGGCTTTATCCAAACAAGGACCTTCAACTACTTCTAGTTTAGGCATGAGTCCTGTGAGCAGTGGTCCGTTCACAGGTCCTGACTCCTCTGTTCCAGTCTGCTTCTCCGTTGATCCCAGTCAATCCAACCTAGATCCGGCTTTGCACACAGCTTTGACGACGCAAGTGTCTTCTGCCAATCTCTTGTCCACTGGGGAATCTGCTGCTGGTGTTGCAAGTGGTTGCCGTGCCCCTTCGGGATCGCAGCATAACATTACTTCCCAAGGGAATTCTTCTACGATTACCGCAACTGACCAGATGATCAGCAGGTCGGCAGTGGCAACGCAAGACATTTGGGAGCAACGCCTTTGGATCGACCTCCTCTGGTTCGCAAATCAAGCAATGGCCGCTCTCATTTGTAGTGGACCAATTTACGACCACCAGGCACTATTTGGTGAGCTGACGGACTTAGGGGAACATTTGGCTACTGGGGAGAAAACTATGGCTCCGCATCCGGGTTATATCCTGCGTTGGGTTTCTCGCCTTCTTCTGGCTCGTGATCCCATTTTAGATTCGAGCCCGTGGTTGTGGCACTGTCCTATTGTTGATACTTCTTTCGGATATTCTGCACTTATGTCGACAAGAAGTTTTAGCTGTTCGGCGTCTGCACTCCAAACGCGAACAACTTTGGTCGGCGGGGAGCTTCGTTTAGATGCGGTTAGTTCCAACTGTGGGTTTTTTTAGCCTGTTTTATGATTCGTTTGTGGGTGTTATTTTTCCTGTTTACCTATGAACTTGCTTTGATATCATTAACTGTTGGGCCCGAGCGACAAGTCTTTCGCATAAAGAAATCAACTGGTCGAAGTGTTACCGTTACTTGTTGCGATGAGTGCACAAATTCACTCTGCACTGCGCCCCTGGACACTTTCGAATTTCATTGACAGCAACTCGGTTAACCCTAGAGGATGCATGAGCTCCCAGTCGATTTGATGGGTTATCGGAAGTTTAATCTGTTACTTGACAAGCGCACATAGCATCGCACTGTTAATTTGGATGCTAAATACTGTTTTGTGGCAAAAACACTGGAACTAGGGGGCCAAAAAGTACTTTAATAGTCCATTTGGGTGATATTCAGATGGACACCATATAGCTCACTTGCATATGGTGCTGTTCAACATTGGAATAGGAATTCCGTTAAGCTTCGTCAGCGTATACTCACGAGGAAGCTCGTGAGTATAGAAAGCGGACATCCACTCTTGTACAACGCAAGTTTGTCCCAGTAAAGGTTGTGTTTTCCTTGATGGATTCATTTTCAACATCATTTTTTCTCCATCAAATCTGTTCTGGTATGCTTCTGCGATGTTTATGCACTGTAGGCATTAGTTGTCACCCCCTCTGGGCCGGTTATCACAACTCGCGTTCATGCTCTGTTATGTATTATTTCTCCGAGTAACACATCCCCTCTGCTCGTTTATACAGTTTGTGGAGATCTTCTGTTTTATGGTTGCTTTGAGACTAATATTAGTCCGTAGATGATAGCGGTGTAATTTGTAGAATGATTACCCATCCATCTGTCTCTGACGAATTTCCTGACCGTGGTTTTTGCATAATTTCACCCAGTTCTTCGCATCATTCGTACCGGGAATCATCCTTTTCTGTTTATAGCTACTCCGACAACTGGGTGAAGAGACCCTTGTTCTTCTACTTGATCGGAACCAGAATCTTCCGTTTTTGCTCAATTGGGTAGTGGATCAGTGCTACACAAGCAAAAACATCTCCTCGTCAACTGCTTGCTTCTTGTGCTTATGTCGTGCTCTAAGCAATATGTGAGTTGAATTCTGTATATTTTCTCCGGACGATTCGGTTAATTCACGTATCCTGTTGTTTCCCAGTTTGAAGGGACCTAGCTTAAAGGGTCCCCCTTACGAGGGCCGTTCACACACAATGACCTCCGGTTAGATTTCGCATATGGGTGTCCTACCTCGATTTCGTTGTCTCAGAATGGGGGAAAAGTGCAATAAGAAGAGATCGATGTCGTAGTTGAGTGTTTTCACCTAGGTGTTAATTGGGTCCTGAAAACTGCTAACCTTCACATGTTTTTAGAGCGGACTTCCTGAATATGCTCCGTATGCATTCAAGGAAGTATTCATCTGCACTGTAAGATTCAATACCGGCGGCGAGCCTGGTGATCATCGAACACGTCTTATGCGTTCTGTATATCACTCGATTACGCAGACTTATTTTACAACAGTCTTTCAAAAACCATCTTCAGAATCTTCTCGTTTTTACAGCCATGAAATCATACCGGATGTATGGGGCTTCACAATCCCCAACCTTGATCCTTCGAACAATTCATTCCCATCCATACAGACTTTTCTCTGCGTCATTGTTCTTCCCGGATATTGTCGCTTTATTCTGTGAGGTCGAGTGTGTATCCCACTATCGAGTTAGCTTATTCTGAACGATGCGAATGCAAATGTGGGAAACGTTGCCACTTACTGAAGTACGATCCTCTGCGCTCTTGAGAAAATCTGCTCCCGAAATTGCCTGCTGTGTATCTGGGCCGATCAGAAACTCGTACCGCATCCAGGCGCATTGAGTGCGTTGACAGTCCAATTTTTATCTACCCAATCTAACCACTGCCCTGAAGGCTAGCGCACACGATTTGCATCCAGCTTCGCTCCTCCTTAGTGACACCCCTGCTCCTGTACCGATTGGGCATAGCTCCCTCTTCTCGTCCATCTCGATGACGGTCCGTATCGTAACTTGTGTCACAGCCTTAATCTCAACCCAGCCATAAAAAGAGAAGTAGTATAAATCGTTATCATTTACAGATGAAAAAGGGAAGACCATTCGATGCAAACGCGTTTATTGGCACACAAATTAAGCAGGAAAGTAAACATCTCGTATGTACATAGTCTCTAAAAACTGAACATCACTCGTCTCCTTGAACTTTCTTGGATATTCATTGACTATTGCACACGAACACTGCAAAGCGGTCCCGCAGTTGCCACAATAAACTTCACCTTCCATCAGATGCGGGCACGGAGTTTGGCCGCATAGAGTACTCGCATTGTCCATCAGTACTATCCATCGTTACACATAGGGTCTCCTGATTGGGGTTTTCATGTGAACTGAACTGGTCAATTCCCTTAATTTTTATACTACTTCGGGAGATGAATAGTAAGCCGAACACGGACGGAAATAAGTCACTGAATGGAATAAATCCGGTAGAGAATGAAGGCGAAAAGACCAGCGCCAACGAACGACACGAAGGAGTTGGTAAGCAAATTCTATCTTAAAAATTATCCTAGGGGTCTCCAGTTCGACGGCTTCAAATGACTAACTGAAGAGTTATCAGATCGTTATTCAGTGTCATAATGTTGCATGCTCTTTTTGTTATGCTTCCGAAGTGATAATCTTCAACTGACTTGTTATGAGTCACTGTTCTCCCTTTTTCCAGTCCGGACTTCAACTGTGACTTTGTTTCACTGCTAGTTCTGGCGTTCGTGTTTCTTGACCATCCTCAAAAAACACTCAGCGACCGAGCCTTTCACCTCCTGCGGGTACTGTATCACCGATTCATTTTGCAGGTATGCAGAGCTGTTGTTGTGTTCAGCGCCCTAACTTTACCTTTTTAATCTTTGGATCACACGGATGTTATATCTGTTGCTCAATTTGTCTAGAACGCTTTGACGAACTTGAACTAATCGGGGGGGGGGGGAGGAAGTACAGTATCCTGCTTTGATTAGATCTAAGCTTTGAAAGAAGCTTCTACATGTCATTTTAAAGTGACCTTTTAGGATGGATTTTTTTCGCTGGTGACAGCGGACATTCAGCGATATCGACCATAATTGCTGACAAGACAGTTGTACCTTGGACAGTAGCCACCAGTGCTTCACATTGCTATGGGTCGTTCCCCTTCCCGCTCTTTGTTATGTTTTTCCTTCCCAATATTACTTCCCGGAACGTTCATTATGCTCACCTGGCTCCATGCATTGTCTCACTTGGGAACTGTAGAATATGATAGATCAGTCGATCTCATGTAAACGATTCCTCGTCACACAGTCTAATTATGCCACTTAGTGGCATTCTAGGTATGATGGAAGCATGGCGGTAAACGCAATGCTGCTTTGGCAGTTGGGTAGTAGGAGTATGTGTCGAACAGATCCTAGCCTTCCTCAGGAACTGGCTTGTCTCTCTCGGATCTGTACATCGCTGAATAGAATTAGCCGACGAAGGGCAATATATACAACTGTTAGCAAGCTGGTCTTTCAGTGTTTTTTCCAATCAAATTATGTTTTTAAAAAGTGGACACGATGATGACTGAACCCCAAACAACCAAAATGATTCCCGACCCAAATGTTTTGAAAGGCGATTTCCCCTTTTCGCGAGCAAGAATCATGATGAGTTGTCCGGTCCCGGGGCTTTCTAGATCTCTAGCCTTACAATTTTCTGGATGATCGAAACGAAGGATTGATGCCATGAGCCCGATGTACTGTCTTGAATGCCTTGTGCGATGCATCAACTGAATTCCTCTTCGAAATGTCCTATCCAGGGTTCGACTCTTTTGTTTAGGTTTTTTACAACCAGACCGTTTCCTTCATAAAATATCCCCTTGGTAAGTGGACGTTGGGAACCAGAGTTATGCAATCGTTGGAAGAGTTTTTGAAAACTCTTCCATTTCGGAAGCTCATTTGGCTGGCCATCCTTCCTTGTCTGTTCTGGAGCTCCCAAGTTCCTGAGCGTGCCAAGAGGCCGAAGGAAATTAACTACACTTTTGTGTAGCGTTTGCTAGTGAGGATACCGTTGGTTACTCAGGTAGCGTAGATGGTCGCTGGTTTGTTCGCTGAGCTGTGCAATTTGATTGCAAACGTTTCATCAGTCGAGGTGACATCATCAGTGCGTTGTTAAAGAGCCTAGTGGAGAGTAGTAATAGATCGGTACTTGTGGCACAACCGCGCTCCCTAACGACGCTTTGATGATTCCACCTCGATTGGTTATGGAACCTTTGCAATCAAATTACCCCGCTCAGCGAACAAACCAACGACCATTGATGCAATGTCCACATCAAACTGTATGTACTGGATGCCTTTGTTACCTGTCCTGCCAATGTTTGGAGCCTTTGCAGCTCCGAGATAAAAAAAGTGTTCATACGCGTTACTGATGCTCTGAGTGAACTGTTCAACCTTACGAATTGAAGCCTTGCAGACTCTGCTATCGTGCTTACTGAAATTTCGGTGCCGATCTGGCTTGCAGCTATGGCACGATTATCTCCAGGTAATCTTAGTTTTTTTTAAATTTTTTCTTAGTCACATAACATAGTGCAGTGAAGCTACTATACTTCATTCAGGAGTTTGAAACAGCTCAGTGTGCTATCCTGAGTTCACCACTGTAATTGCTCCACCAATTTGAAAGCAGTGTCGGTGCTTATGGGTGGATGTTGTACGCAGTATTGGGTTGCAGCATCGTGTCCGTGAGTGTAGGCCAAAACGTTCCTGAATGTGTGACGTTTTGTCGAGTCTATTAAACGGGATGGAGAATCATGAGCGACACGTATGAATAATGATGAATTTGATTAGCTAGGAATTTTGTTTAGTAGTGTCCTGGTCACCAACACCTCGACCCAGTCATTGCGTCCAGAGTATGGCATAACGTAGGACTTCCAATTTAAGTTTTTTTCCAATGCTTATTTTTTGGACAGCGTATTCGGGGTTGTCTCGGAAGCATCATCTCCGAGCGTCCCTCTAGATAGGGTCAAAGTATGAAGGTCACAATGGAAATCCTAAATGTTTCCGTTTCCTAACCCTTCCAATGGGTTACAACGATCCCGAATACTGTGTCCATCCAACGGCCACGTAATCCGTTGGGCTCCAAATCACATCACCTGGTTTTTCGTTTGCCACCAGAGTTTCACTAAGTCTCATGGACATACAACCATTGGTCTGTCAAACTATCGTGCTGGCCACCCACTTTCGCCCTTTTAAAAGGAGACAGTGAACAAAACTCCCTCAACTGAGGCCTTCTGTTCACGTAGCTAGTTTTTAGAGCATTTTGGGAAATGAACTGGGCATGTTGGTATAAATAACGCAGCGCAAAACTCGCTTCCAACCTTGCCTGGTTATCTACCGTGATTACTGGTTTCGCAGCACCCACCTTTGCTGTTGTTCGTTAATCCCTGGAAGCTTTGTTGTGTTTCTCTCTAGTGATGGCAGTACTAATGTTCCATTCTTGGACCTAAGGCCTCATATGAGGAAAGCAGGCAACGAGTACGATGGTGCACGCAAATCCCTCAAAGACCAAATAGTGAAGAGTCTAAGGAAAGACCGAGAGCTCTGGTGGACATCGAAAGCTCGGGAGATGGAGAAGGCTTTTGCTACGGGAAACAGCCGTGTCCTTTATCAACTGATACGATCGACTGGCCCTAGGAAAGCAACGGTCAGCGA